TCATCCAAGAGGCTTCGTCAGTCTGAGGCCTAGCCATCTGGTATTACCCAGAAGCCACCCTGACTCTTGTGCACTAATGGTTTCAAAAACACAAAGTTTGTTTTCTCAGTCATCCAGGTATATAACAACAAAAAAGGTTGAATCATGTCATCTGGACTTCGTTTTTTTTGTTAAAAAGAAACGTTTCGCCCCTCATCCAAGAGGCTTCGTCAGTCTGAGGCCTAGCCATCTGGTATAACCCAGAAGCCACCCTGACTCTTGTGTTTCAAGCCTGCCTCAGATACCCCTGAAGTCTGGCCTTTTCACTAATGGTTTCAAAAACACAAAGTTTGTGTTTTTGAAACCATTAGTGACCAGACTGAGAAAACAAACTTTGTGAATCTCTTCCATTGTTGGTTTCCTCTGTCTTGCAGAGTAATACAGTAGAGAACAATGACTTAGATGATCCGGTTGATAATTTTACAACTTCAAATCAAACATCACTTGATAAAATTGTTCCGCTGAGAAAGAAAGTGATCAATCAGAGGAAGCTGGCTCCTTGGTTTAAGTATGACTTACATACTTTAAAACAGGCATCTAGAAAGCTGAAAAGAAAATGTCGCTCCACTAACATGGAATAATTTTATTTAACTTACAGAGATAGCCTGCTAACATAAGAAAGCTATCTGCAAAGCCAGAACTGTATATTATTCATCTTTAATAGATGACAATAAAAATAACTGCAGGTTTCTGCCTCCATGCAATGCATGGCAGGCACCTGCACTGCCTCCATGCAATGCATGGCAGGCACCCATTATTCTACACCTCGTAAGTGTTTCTATCTATCTATCCATCTATCCATCTATCCATCTATCCATCCATCCATCCATCCATCCATCTAGTCACTAATCTGGGAGTGATAATGGACCCTTCCCTGAAACTTAGCAATCATGTAAACATGATTGTTAAATCATGTTTCTTCCAACTGAGGCGGCTGTCTAAACTGAAGCCCATATTGTCCAAAAATAACCTGGAGACAGTAATACATACATTCATTACATCTTGGCTTGATTACTGCAATTCGCTCCTGTTTGGTATCAATCAAACCTCCATTGCATGATTACAACTGGTCCAGAATGCAGCAGCCCGATTTTTAACCAGTACAGGC